GGGAGAGAACCATGTACACCACCTTGAGCTTCTTAGAAAAAAGGTGGGGTATAAATACAATAAATCACTTAGTGATTTCTGTGCATTCTTTGTACATATCAGTGGTTACTCGCCTTGATGGTTATGTTATACCTCCAGCATCAGAGTATGCTTCTGAATACCAGCTGCTGGGTATCACAAATGGGAAGAATGCTGTTGGGTTCACAAAGGCTGCCCATAGACATCAAGGTGGGTACTCTGAAAAGAGGGTGCTGGACTTGTTATGCCTTTTGCTCTGATTCAGCAAATTTATTCTTAGGTTCCTAAGATTTGAATCATAGAATTGTAGAGTTGGAAGGGACCCTGAGGATCATCTAGTCCAACCCCCTGCAATGCAGGAATATGCAGCTGTCCCATGCAGGGATTGAACTTGCAACCTTGGCATTACCAGCACCATGCTCTAACCAACTAAGCAATGAAACATCCATTTGATAAAATCATCTAAAAACATTTCACATATGTGAAAAATATATTAGAGAAAGAAACATTAGGCAAGGAGCTGAAAGGTTAGGATATGGGACTGGAAATGAAAGTATTAAACACTTTTCGTTAAAATTATTCATACACACGCCTTTTATTTTTTCACTGTGAGTTCTTTGGAGAGTGGATAGTATTGGATTGGAACAAAGAAGGTCTGCCTTTATGTCCTTTCTCAGTCCTGAATTCTCTGCTTGGGCTAAGACAAACCATTCCCACTCAGCTTTCCCATTTGTAAAATGTAGAGCTGCAAGCATGGCATGGAAATGCCCTTTTCTTAAAGGACATACCCTCTTTGCAGGCTGCATCCCCTCCTCCTGACACCAGATTTGATTATTTGAACTTGTCCTGAGTGCTCTCTCTGGGTTTGTGTGGGTAGCTAGAAGAAATTAATGAACCTGTGCCTTCATGGTAGCAATCTAGGTTACAAAGCAACCTAGCTTCAAGAAAGCTACTTCTGGCTCTTCAGTATGACTGTAAGCCTCATAGTGGGTATGAGAGGTTCTCTGGGGATTACAGGCAGCATTTTCTTAGGCTAGAAGGGCATTCCTTCTCCTTGGCTTCATTAATTTCACTTCTGGCCCCTGGAGCATTAAACATGACAGCAGGATGGTAATTCTTCACCTCTGTGTTTCTAATGGAATGATAATTGTGCATCTACTTGCCAACTGCGGGAAAGTTCTTGCTCCACAGTCTGTCATGACACTTCCATTGCCAACCCATTTTGCTGACTGAGAATGTAGTTGTTTCTTGGATTCCTTGAAATAAAAGCTATAGAGAGATAAATAAAGCAAGAAAAATGTTCAACATACTAAAATGTTCCACCCCAGCTGTCATTATGCCAAGGCCTAAATGTATAACAACTGACCTTTAAAAATCTGGAAAGTACCTTGAATGAAGAACACAGCCAAAAAATAGAGAAAAATAATCTTGACAGCATGAGAGATTGGTTTATTTAAAATATATTCATTATGCCATAAGTTCTCTTTCCAGAGCCATAAACTACAAGCAGATATTGTTAGACATAGCCAGATTCACAGCAGGATGAAGTAAAAATTTGGAAGTTCCCCTGGTTTGAATGTAACATCTGCTTTAACTAGAATATGCATTTGACCTGAAAATAGCTACTTTGCATTCTATTGCATGTAAGCAACATTCACATATGTTATATGAGTTTTGGTGGGAGAAAGTAGGCTGTGTGCCAAGACTCTTCAATTGGTTAGGCATCCCTTCTAATTCCTGGAATAGCCAAGCTAGCTTCCCAGTGAGGTGATGGGCCATTAAGGGGAACAAAGGAAGGGGCTCAGTGCGAGGCAGCAAATGGTTGGGGGCCCCTCCCTCAACTTGGGGATAGTTAGAAGGACAAAGCCAGAGTTGAGGGTTGGGAGTGATGTAAGTTAGAGGCAAATCAGCAAGCTGGGAAGATAGAACAAGAGTGATGTTTGATTTCTGTTTGAATCCAAGGCTGTCGCTATGGAAGAAGCAAGACCCTCTTGGGCTGTTAATGCTGTGAACCCCTCCATCACAGGCTCAGGTTGTATATGTGTGTGTAAATAAACCGTATTTCATAAAGACACCATCATCTCCACTTTACCTCATTCCAAAGGGAACACAAACCCAGGTTAAGTGCTTGGAACCCTTGGAATCTCTCACTGCTTGGAGATTGAGGTGGTGTGCAATGTTATATTACTTGCCAAAAGACAGATGTGACGTGTCTCATTAGATAAAGCAGAGGCTTAGAGAAATACAGTTTTATTGTATTTACTGTATTTACTGTGTATTGAAATGTTTATCAGTTGTAGACTATGCTTGATACTAGGTTAGAGAGGTGGGTTATAAGTTTAAGATCAAACAGAAGTATTTCTTCAAAGATGGCCACCTTCTGTCAAGTTAGACAACCCATATTAGCCAGCAAACAAGCATAATTCAACACCAGAGAAGCTATGGGCATTTAGGGAGACCATCTGATCCCTTGCAACTTTCTCATGTCCCATATTAATTTATAGGGCCCACAATCTGCCTTGAGCATTAACCTAGCCCTAGGCACTATCCTATCTGCGTGGGATCTGCCAAGCATAGTTTGGATTTGTAGTGAGAGCACATTTATTAACTGGTTCAGAGGAGTTTCTCAGAAGAAGAACTGGTGAAATGGGAGAATCTGTTGTTGTTGGCTGAATCTTGTTGCCAAGATAGGGCCCAGAATGTTGGCAATTGCTCACTCCAAGGAGGAAGGTGCTATTTCAGACAATGCAAGGAGAGGTAAGTGGTGCTCTCCTTGCATCCCAAGCTTTTGTAGTCTGCTTTTGAGAGAGAAATTATTTCTGGGGTTTTTTTCCTACCCCCTTTTTCTTCTACCTCCTAAGTGCAATTAGCTGTAACTTTTCCATATTTATAGTCCCATTGCTCCCTGCTTATAGCAGTTATGGTATTGGCAGAAACATCATTTGAGAAGCAAATGTGGCAGAGCAGTTCACCTCTGCCTCTCTTGCACCATCTTTCTACATTCATTTGCCAGTGCAAGTTTGCACTGGAAGTAAGAGAATATAGCTACTTCCAGAACAAGACATTAGACCTTGCCTCTTCCATACAGTTGTAGGTAGAAAGAAACTCTGTTTTGCAGCAGGAACTTTTATATGTAACAATGAGTTTACAGCTTAGATCAAATCCTGTATGAGAATATGATCAAAGAACAAGCATAATGGCATGTTTCCTGTAGGTCCGTTAATACAATGATATAAGCAAGTTTATACTGTGAAACACTCAGAAACCACTCTAATAACCATCTGAGGATTTTACTGAAATGGTTAAAAATGTGAGTAGTGTTAAACACACAGTAATAATTGCTCTGTGGTGGCTCCAGTTTAGTAAACTGCTTGGGACACACATTGCTAGACACCCCTAATTAACTGAAATAGGCACCTCCTGCAACCAAGGTAGGCACAATTCACCTGGAAATTCTATCATGTTATCTATGTCAAAATGTGCAAGATCTCATACTGTGATCTCATGCACAGGAGAATATGCTAAATGTGTAGTGCTCAGGTAATTGTGCAGGCACCTGCTGTTTGTAATGTCTCTTAAACTGATACTTAAAGTTGTAGGATGAACAGAGTTGAGACAGTTTTTCATTTTCTGTGTCAACCAGCAATTGGCCCATCGGTTATCAAAATATACCCCAGGCAGAAGTCATGATCCATAGGACAGGATCTCCACAGCTGTGGACATTACAAAATTCCCTTCTAACCATAGCCCCTGCACCACGCAACAAGCTGTTTCTTAAACTAATGAAACATTTTGAATCAGAGTGATGGTGATGGCGATGATTGTAGTTAATAATACATATATGTAAGAAAACTCTGGGACATTCTGAAGTTCAACACCTTCAAACCACCTTTGGATCTTAGATGCTTCAGAATCTCCCATATTTTTTTCATGGACATACTCATGCTGACATATCAATGAGACAGTGGAGAGATGGCCAAATATTGAGAAAGCCATGCTAACTAGCTGTAGTTAGTATTTTGGCTGGATTCCAGGACTGAAATGATTTATTTTGCATTCCGAGGCACTAATTATTAACCCACCTCTATAACAAATATTGTTTCTTTTCTCTTTTTTGGCCCTTCCTCTTTGGCCATATATGCCACTAGCTCAGATCTGGGTAGTAGAGGAACAGATTTAAAGGGAAAATAAAATGTGTAAAATGTGCAATTCTGGTTTTATACAGTTTCTTGGTAATCCACTGCTCTTTCACCTTTTGTTCCCCTTGGTTTCAAGTATATTTTAAAACATCCATACACACGTTAAGTAAGCAAAGTGTAAGACTATTTATTTCTAAAAGGGGTCTTGGAGCAACCTACCCAGTTTATTTTCTATACCATTGCTATTTGGGTTACAAACCATTATAATCTCTTCCAAGTCATAAAATAATGGCTTTTTATCATCTCTGTTTTATTCTAGCATTCCATCTTTCTATTATCCTAAACATATGTAGAGCAAAGAAAAAACAGATGGGATTTCCCACTGCTAGTGCATCCTTGTAATGATGGTTATTTCCAACTCACAAAACACTCAGCTGTCAACTCTGATTTATTTTTGAAGCAAATTTGGATTCGGTTGCTAGTGGAGTGGTGCAGGGTTTTTTCCCCCTACTTCCAACATCATCTTTTGTGTGTGTGTGGAATGCCACTATCCAATCACAATTCAGCCTGTGTACCATCTATAATAATAATAAAAAAATCTCTTTCATTCTTCTAGTTAACAGCGTGCAATATTTTGTGGTTGGAATTTGTGTTCCAGCATGATAAAGGATGTGGAAAGGAAAACATATTTGCAGCTTGCTCTCTTCTTTCAAGCTTCCTCATTTGAACATCCCCGTCTTCCCTCAGGGGGAAAGCACGCTATTAGAGATAAAGAAACCCCCACTATGTTCAATCCTGTCTATAAATAATGGATTTTTATCGTATAAAGACATCTCCCTTTAAATAAAACTCGTTCTCTCCTTTCAGTCACATAGCAAGCGATCACCTATTTGCTGAAAAAGCTATTCCCGCCCCCTTTACGGTTCTTTTCCCTTCTGTCTCCCCTTTAATCTATGCAACACGAATTCCAGCTAGCCGACTACTATGCTAACTGCATACACCAAGGGCAAGGAAATTCCTTTGCAATAAACAATAGCTGTCTTCCACCCCTTTGGCTGCAACTAGGCAAGGTCAGTCCCGCTGCGGCAGCAGCTACAGCGCCTGGAAAAGACCCCCGCCTCCAGCTCCCCTATGCGTGCAGAACTCAGCAGCTGTACATCAGGAAGAGCCGGCCAACCCCATCAGCGCTATTGAACTCAACCCAAAGGAGCTGTCCAACTCCATCGTGGTGCTGAACCGAGCTAGAGCAACACAGCTGGGAAAGCTGTCTATCCGCGCCGCGGTGCTGAACTCAGCAACATCCGCTCAGCAAGGAGCTGTCCATCCTGCCGCGGTGCTGAAAGCTGACTCCTCTCCGACATCTTTCCAGCTGCAAGAACAGCAGCAGGAAGAGACAGCGGCTACTGTGGAACATGGAGGGAAAGGGCTCCCGGAAGAGCAGCAATAAGGCTGACTGCACCGCGCTGTATTTGCGCTGATCGGTTCCATCCCAGCCCGCTCTCGCTGTTTGGACACAAAGCCACCCGCAGCCATGGAAGAGGAGCTGAAATGTCCCGTGTGCGGCTCGCTGTTCCGGGAGCCCATCATCTTGCCCTGCTCGCACAATGTCTGCCTGCCTTGCGCCCGAACCATCGCCGTGCAGACGCCGGAGACGGAGCAGCACCTGCCCGCCATGCTGCACCCCCGGGGCCCTGCGGCAGCGCCGGGGGCCGGGGCCGGAGCCTCCGGACCAGCCTCTCTCGACTACGACTGCGGGGCCGGAGGGGGCAGCGGAGCAGGCGGAGGGGGCGGCGTGGATCATGCGGACAAGCTGAGCCTGCACAGCGAGACCGACAGCGGCTACGGCTCCTACACCCCGAGCCTTAAGTCTCCCAACGGGGTGCGGGTTCTGCCCCTGGTGCCACCTCCTCCGGGCTCCTCGGCGGCGGCGGCCCCTCGGGGTGGAGGCACCAGCTCCTCGCTGACCTGCCCGCAATGCCACCGCAGCGCCTCGCTGGACCATCGCGGCCTACGCGGCTTCCAGCGCAACCGGCTCCTGGAGGCCATCGTGCAGCGCTACCAGCAGGGCCGGGCCGCCGCCTCGGCCGCCGCCAAGTGCCAGCTGTGCGACCGCAGCCCCCCCGAGCCGGCCGCCGTGATGTGCGAGCAATGCGAGGTGCTCTACTGCGCCTCTTGCCAGGTCAAGTGCCACCCGTCCCGGGGGCCCTTTGCCAAGCACCGCTTGGTCCCTCCGCCCAGCCAGCAGGGAGCCCCGAGCGGAGCGAGCGGCGGAGCAGCTGGTGGCGGCGGCGGGGGCAGCAAAGCGCCCGGGGCTGCGCGCAAGCCCCCGACCTGCGCGGATCACGAGCTGGAGAACTACAGCATGTACTGCGCGACTGCCGGACTCCCGTCTGCTACCAGTGCCTGGAAGAAGGCAAGCACGCCAAGCACGAGGTGAAGGCCTTGGGGGCCATGTGGAAGCAGCACAAGGTAAGGCAAGGAGAGGTCCTGATCTTTGCTCCACAGCTCGCTCGCCTGCACCGCCTGCTGGCAAAGGCTGGAGCGTGTCATGCCAGATCACAGCCGGCCATTGACTCGCAGTTCTTTCGTAAGGAGCCATTACCGCCCTCTAGAACTGAAGTAGCAATCGCTACAGCAGATGAGAATCCCAACGCTATAGATAAATTGGCACTGAAAGAGTGGTGAAGGCCCACCCTATAAATCACTTTCAGCAGGTATTTATTTCACCCCTAGGTGGAAACATTTTGTGAATGCCAGTAATGTACATGTACAGGTTGTAAACAAAAGGGTGCCCGTCTTTCCCAACACCATTGAGTAAACCCAACCATAGGGAGCAGGGTCACTGCAGCACAACATGTTTTGAATCCAGGCTGAATTGAGCTCTGCTACTTCTTCTTTTAGAAATTTGATCCTGTTCTGTATAATGGTCCTAATAGCTGTATGAACCAGCTCTTAAAGTGTATCGAGGGACATGAAGTGAACTTTGAGTGCATCCCAAGATCTCCTCCAAGGTTCTTCCCCAAGCATTACAGTACAAAAATATTTAAAGTGGTACAGTTCTGTACTATCTCCATTGTATTTGCCATTCTAACAACCCTTTCTCCCATTCTAAAGATGAAGAACAATGGGCAAAGAAAGGTAGGAAACTTGTAGATGTCCAGATGTTGTTGGACTCCCATCAGCTCTGGTCAGCATAGCAAAAAGCCATGGATGGTTATTATTGTTTATTATATTTATTTATTTACTAAATTTGTATACCACCCTTCATCTTTTTTGGGATCACTCACAACAAGAAAAAAAATCAAAAACCCACAAAATACATAATAAAAACAAGAACAAGAACAAACCAATAACCCTTAATAATAATAATAATAAATTTTATTTATATCCCGCCCTCCCCAGCCGAAGCTGGGCTCAGGGCGGCTAACAACAATCAAAATAATCCGATATTCTAAAACATTCATTATAAAATTAATTAAATCAAATTAAAATCAAATTAATGGCAACCATCAAGCCAAATTCTGTGCCGATTGCCGATTGCCAGAGGAGGGGGTCAGGCTGCGCCCTGACCAAAGGCCTGGTGGAACAGCTCTGTCTTGCAGGCCCTGCGGAAGGATGTCAGGTCCTGCAGGGCCCTAGTCTCTTGTGACAGAGTGTTCCACCAGATTGGAGCCGCGAACGAGAAGGCCCTGGCTCTGGTTGAGGCCAGCCTAACCTCTTTGTGGCCTGGGATCTTTAGGATGTTTTTATTTGCAGACCGTAGATTTCTCTGTGGGACATACCAGGAGAGGGTCCCCTTCCCACCCGCTTCCACAACACATTTAAAAGGGTATCAGATCTAATCAGCCAAAGGCCTGGTTGAAGAGAATGGGAGTCCAGCACCTCCCTATGATGGGGCTAATGGATAGTGACTTCCTCAAGGCCAGCTTGGTGAGAGACAAATAACATTATATTAGATATACCTGACTAGACAGCTCTTCCTAATCTGCTGTGCAACTTGCCTGTGCTTTCCACCCTCGGGAAAGTTCTACTAACAGCTTTATAAACCACTTTGCAGCAGCAGAATAGTTCAGAGTGACCATCCTGAAACAACTAAGTGTTATAGTAGGAATGTATTCATTGTAATTTGGTTTTTGGAGGATGTTTGCTAAGAAAAGCAATAGGTGTTTGTTCAGAGTGAGGGAGGAGAATATGGGGGGGGGGAATTGTAGGTTTCCGGCAACATTTTTTTAAAAAAACAACAACAGTTAATGGAATTTTTGTTGACACATCACTACTCTGGATTTCATTTCCATTCTACAAGTCTGTTGAAAAACCAAGCTGTATTAAAATTGCAGGATAAAATGCTATTTTTTTTGGCTCTTAAATTATGGGAATAAAGAATCCTGGGTAAGTGAATAAGTGTAATCAAGTATTCCCTTCTGCTTCGTTATTTTTATTTACTATTTACTACGCATTCAACTATTAGCTATTCAATAAAATTTTAGGGTTTAAACCAATTCATTTCAGTTTTGATATCACAGGACATAGATCTCATAGATAGAGCATGGCATTTGTATTATTTCTATTAAATACAGTTGTATATTCTTTACTTTTGAGTAATAATAATAATAATAATAATAATAAATTTTATTTATATCCTGCCCTCCCCAGCCGAAGCTGGGCTCAGGGTGGCTAACAACACTAAAATAGTGCAACATTCTAAAAACATTATAAAAATTAATTAAAATCAAAATTGATGGCAACCATAAACTAAAGTTCTGTAAAGATTGCCAAAGGAGTAGAACATGAAGCTCTTGAGATTGAGCTGAAAGCCAATTATGTCCATTCATCCTTGCTGAAAATAAAGGCCTACAAAATATTTATTGATTATTCACATTGCACTTGGGTGAAGCGCTTTCTGTTATTAAATAATGCATACATTATACATTTATACATCAGAGCTCTCAGGGAACTGTGACAGTTATGTTCCTGTGGGATGGCTTGTATGCTGCTATTCTATTCTTTTCTCTCACGTGGTAACACTGGGCAGGGAAATTTTTATTTAGTTGCATTCAAAAATACATCTGCTTCATATATTCTGAGGTGATTCAGTCCCCTGAGGATTGTGGCATATGACCTTCCCAAATGTTTGAATCAATTTCTTAAATGAATTAAATAGGAACTTCAGTAGTGAGTGAAGATTTCTGGCTCAACAACACCCATTGACTATTTTTTCTACCCAGTTAGTTGACCTCTTTACAGCAACCACTTGTGCTGCTGAAGAAGCAGAGGCAGCTGCTTTTCAGTTTATATTATAAGACTGGAACTATTCCTCTTCAGAAACTGAAGGACTTATCTGGCCCTTTCAACATTTGCCTCTGTTATTTTTAGTATGATCTTGGGGATCACCAGGAAGCACTGGGGGTTCCCATGCCATAGTTAAAGAACCCCTGATCTTCTCTGACTTGGTCTTCCTGGTCAGAATCCACTGCACCCCAAAACTCTTAACTGCATAGTCTACATTATACAGACTACAGTGTGCAAAAGTGGATGGGAGGCTACATAGCCAGGGTGCCTGTGGGGCAAGGTATTTGTTCAATAAATTGGAACAGTCAAAATAATTTCCCTTGATCGTTTAGACTGCCCACCTACTATTTAAATCTTCATAGGTAAACTGGAGCTATTTTGAACTGCACCATGTGGAGACATTGCACTAGATCTGCTTGCTAAATGGCTCCCCGGATTATTCAGAAGATGATTTAAGCATGACAAAAAGGCTGGCTTCCTAGACATATGGGCAGGAGGAGGAATCAGTTTGCAAAATAGTTGCAAGTAGCATATGCTCATGATGGGTGAACGCTCTCTACCTCCTCCCACAGCCTTATCCATGCAGGAACTCATAAAACCTGATGAAATGTGCAGTCCAATTCAGCCCATGGCACTTTGATTTATGATTTAGCCACTATTATGGGGCTCAGGAGGCTGTAAATTACAGAGAATTGCAGCATGCAAATATCCTGCTGCAGCCAGTTTTGAATATGTGGCTTTAACATGCTATTCGCTTGGAAGAGAAGAGTCAGTGAGGATGTTGGCTCCCTGACGTCACATTTACATCCTGCCAAGGATATTGCACTAGGATAATTAACACTTATAGGAGCACAAGATAATCACTATTATCACAAAAAATTAGTTAATTGTGTGCTTATTTTCTTTCCAGTATTTACAACAAAAAGGATGAAACAGCATTAAGGGAAACCTGATGCAAAGAGAAATAAAAACACTGTACTTACAAGTTACAAGTTACACTGTCTTCATGCTCATAGTTTTATAAATAAGTTGAGTGATTATTTGAAATGGTGCATCGATCAATAAAGCATTTCATCCCACACCTTTGACAATACTGTTCTTATCAATTGTTACGCAAGGTGTAATTTGTTGGTGACTCCTCCCAAATGCTTCTTTTGTCATTGTGTGTACCATGTTGCAGCTGGCCAAGACACCAACACCACTGCCTTTTTGGTGCCAGATTAAGACTTGTCTGTTCATCCAGGCCTTTTAAGATTTGATTTTAAGTTCCTGTGTTATGGTTAGCAGTTTTGATGAGTTGGTTTGATGGTTGTTTTAGTTCTGTATTGTATATAGTACAGTAGTACCTCGGGTTAAGTACTTAATTTGTTCCGGATATCCGTTCTTAACCTGAAACTATTCTTAACCTGAGGTACCACTTTAGCTAATGGGGCCTCCCACTGCCGCTATGCTGCCGCCACATGATTTCTGTTCTCATCCTGAAGCAAAGTTCTTAACCTGAGGTTAGCGGAGTCTGTAACCTGAAGCGTATGTAACCCGAAGCGTATGTAACCCAAGCTACTACTGTATTTTATTGTGCTGGTTTTGATAATAGGGACCAGATTCAACTAAGCAGTTGCACTAGCAGGAGCCAAAGCAAGGAGTCCTGCCAGGGCAACTGGGGCTTTCTGTCCTCTTCTCCCACCTGCTTCAGTTTGGATTTGATATCCCGCCTTTCACTCCCTTTAAGGAGTCTCAAAGCGGCTAACATTCTCCTTTCCCTTCCTCCCCCACAACAAACACTCTGTGAGGTGAGTGGGGCTGAGAGACTTCACAGAAGTGTGACTGGCCCAAGGTCACCCGGCAGCTGCATGTGGAGGAACGGAGACGCGAACCCGGTTCACCAGATTACGAGACTACCGCTCTTAACCACTACACCACACTGGTCGAGATAACCCCCAGTACATTGCACAGTGGAAGGGAAAGAGGAGATGGTTTAGTTGGACAAGCAGAAATACTTGCACTGATTGAATGGTTGTAATAACACAATGTTGAATTCCACCTTGGGGTTTTGTGCTGGTTGTTTCAAGTTTATTGGCATCTCCAGGTCAGTGCAGCATACATTAATGAACTAGATGGGCAGACAGTAGAAGGCAGCTTTCTTTGTTCCATTTGTTCCAGTCACTTGTGCAGTTTGGTAGAGAACAAATGCATTTGTTCATGTTCCTTTTTAGACCTGGGGAAACTAGGACTTTCCCCCCCTCCTCTCATGAAATAAGGAGTGCTATCCCTAGAAAAATGGATGAGGATGGGATACATTGTAAGGCAGAAAATACCAAACAATAGCAAACACATCTGGGTGTGTGCAGTTTTCCCACATACATATGTATATACAGTGGTACCTCAGGTTACAGACACTTCAGGTTACAGATGCTTCAGGTTACAGACTCCTCTAACCCCAAAGTAGTACCTCAGGTTAAGAACTTTGCTTCAGGATGAGAACAGAAATCACGTGGTGGCGGTGCAGTGGCAGTGGGAGGCCCCATTAGCTAAAGTGGTGCCTCAGGTTAAGAACAGTTCCAGGTTACGAATGGACCTCCTGAACGAATTAAGTACTTAACCCGAGGTACCACTATACAACAAGAAGGCAGCATCTAATTAAAAGTTAAGAAGCTGGTCCAGCAAAAATGAAGTTGGTCTAATAAAAGTCAAATAAAGTCAAATAAAAGTGCAAATACCCAATGCTTTTTGAGCTCTTGAGAGTAGTAGTTTGAGAGAAGTAAGCAGTGTTAGAACCTTAGATATATAAGCTAGACACCAAATGTCACCTTAAATCAGGGTTACCGTCACCAACACGGAATACCTAGTTGCCAATTTTGGGGCCAGATGGCTCAAAAGTTATATCAATACAACTTTTCAGTTCCTGGAATTCATTCTGATTGTGCAGATAAAATATAACAGATAGAATTCTACAGGATGTGTTGCTAATGTGTGAAAACAGTCAAGATCCCAGGATCCCCAGGCATGCACCTCCAGATGGTGGAGGCATCAGGCGCCTTCCTGGCACCCAGGCATCTTCACTTTGTCACAGGTGACTGATAGCCAGGAGCAAAATGTGCCTGGCAACTGGCGAACTTCTAATGCTGCATCATTGGCTGCATACCCACAACTTAACCCAGTAAATCGTATTCATTCATGGAATAGTGTTAATGGAGGAGTAGATTTCCCCAGAACTGGGGGGAGGAATTGCCTGGGTCATAGAACTAAGTAGTCACTGGTTATTGGCAGGATTTGCTCTGGACAGACAATGGGATGTCACGTCTTCATGCCTTGCTTGTGAGTTTAATAATCCTAGAAGCTTCTGTTGGAAGCAGAATGTTGGACTAGTTGGAGGCTGGGCTGATCCAAAGCAGCTCTTATGGGGGGAATTGCATTTGGATGGGGCTACCCATTTCCATCTGTGAACCAGCCCTCCATGGGTTTAGGAATTAATCTCTCTGTTTTAGAATGTGGGCCTTCAAAGTCCTGAAACTTCCCATTCTCAGCAAATTGTAAGCTTCAGTCGGCAACCAGATCAGGTGAGGGAAGATCGATATTAATCTGCTGCTGCTATTACATACAGAATAAACAATGAACTTTTATCTGAGAAGGAATAGTAGGATTAATGCTTATTTGTAAAATCAATAAGGAACCTGTCCTTGTATGCTATGCTATTGACAGATTCTGGGACAAGTGGTTAAGAAAAATCTTGGGAAAATAGCCAGAGTCAGGAATTCTTAATGGCTTTAGTCAATGGCATTTACAACATGGGGCAATTTAGCTTCTTTCCACTATTGTGAAGGAACTTGTGGGCTGCATGATAGTTTACAAGGGTTTGGATAGCCTTTAGTGTGGAGGCATCTACCCTTTGGAACTCCCTGTGCATCAGGCGGGTGTCATCTCCATTGCATTTTTGTAGCCTGCCAAAGCTTTTCTTCTTGCAAGATGCTTTTTAAAATCTTTATTCTAGTTTGTATCTCTCCTGGATTTGAATTGATTTGATGTTTGCATGTGTTGTTGCTGTTGTTAACTGTTTCCCCCCCCTGGAGATGGATGCAAGCAAGTGGCCCCGGTCAACAAGTGGAAAGTTTGGCGAGGTCTAGAGATGGAATCGCTTTGGCGAGTTGCAAAGGAAGGGTTAGCTTTGGCAAGGCATACAGGGAGTGGGAGTGATGTCTTTAGAGATGGGTAAGGAGGGGAGTAAGAGATGGGATGCGGGTGGCGCTGCGGGTTAAACCACAGAGCCTAGGACTTGCCGATCAGAAGGTTGGCGGTTCGAATCCCCATGATGGGGTGAGCTTCCGTTGCTCAGTCCCTGCTCCTGCCAATCTAGCAGTTTGAAAGCACGTCAAAGTGCAAGTAGATAAATAGGTACCGCTCTGGCGGGAAGGTAAACGGCGTTTCCGTGTGCTGCTCTGGTTCACCAGAAGCGGCTTAGTCATGCTGGCCACATGAGCTGTATGCCGGCTCCCTCGGCCAATAAAGCGAGATGAGTGCCACAACCCCAGAGTCATCCACGACTGGACCTAATGGTCAGGGGTCCCTTTACCTTTAAGGAGGGGAGTGGTGACTATGGTGAGTAAAGGGGTGGGTTTGGAGAGCAGGGAAGGAACTAGGGCAGGGCAGCAGTGAGGTTTGGGTCATGCAGGTGCACCATCAGGCATGCTGGATCGATATCAGCTGTTTTGCCAGGGGGACTTTTGCAGTCCCAACCTCGCCATCACCCTGCCCTGCCCCAGCCACATCTAGATAAGCAGCAGTGACACCGGTGCCAGAAGGGTGGCTCAGCAGCTCCACCCCACTTCATGAGAAAAGAAGTCAGTACAGGTTAATAATCCCATATGTTATCCTGAAAGTTAATAATCCCATATGTGTCCTGAAAGGAAAAACAACAGTTTGCAAAATTCTGTTAAGAGTGACTCTGAACACACATTTTTGTGCAGTTGGAAGTAAGTCCTACTGTGTAAAGCAGAGCTGCTTCCCAGGTACTTGTGCACAGGATCACAGCCTAAGCATGTAAAGAGAGCCCTTTAGAGTGACTAGAGGACCAAAAGAGTTCATAATGAAAGGAGTTGAAAAGAGTTCATAAAGGCAATCTGTCTTGATTAGACACATAACTTGCTCACTACTTTAAGGGGTTCATTTTCTCTCTCCTATAAATAAAAACCCAATGATAGCAAGCACTAAAATGTTGAGATGTATAGTAACTATTTTAGGCATAACTTGTAAAGAATAGAGATTATCTATTTTATACTTGTCGTCACTGGCCTTTTCCCCCCTTACAGGCACAACTGTCTCAGGCTTTAAATGGCATTTCAGATAAAGCAAAGGAAGCAAAGGAATTTCTGGTTCAGCTGAAAAATATACTACAGCAGATACAGGTAATAATTACAGAATTCTAGCTGTTTTGGATTTTATATCGAACTGTAGTAACTAAACAGGCAGATATTAAGCATGTTTTGTAGTTTTTGTTTTATTTTAATAGGACTATATGGCTAACTTGAAACAGACGCTATATGTCGCGATCCAGCACAACACCTAACTCTGTGCTAGGTTGTGTCCCAAATGCATTGATAGAACAAATTATAGCGATCACCATTTAAACAGATTATAATGATAATCAATTCAAGCTTCCAGTGAACATCAGTACTGACAATCCTGCAGCACCTACAGTATTGGCATTTAGGTACCTGCTTAATACTCATGTGTTTACCCAGGCAGTTCCTGAATGGTGATCCAACTATATCTATGTATCTATTAATCTGATCTACTGATTATTGATGCATTTTATGCTTGGTTATGAATGTAATTTTATTGTGGATTTTATGCTGTTCATTGCCATATATATCTTTTAAATTAATGTTGGAGGTATAGGCATTTTTTGCAAAAAGAATAAAGAAAGAAAACTGCATTATTTTAGGGCGCACTCCTATGCACACTTATTTAGAAGTAAACACTTTTGAGACCAATGGGCATTTGCTTCCAGGTAACTGTGTGTAGAATCTGGGTGTTGGTTTGGTTTATAAAAGTTTCTTTGGTTCCAATTCTGCCCCACTTTGCTTTTTTGAATTTGCTTATTTGGTCAACTTTGTAAAATGTTAATCCAATAACATCAGCCAAATGAAAAATTTAAAATCCTGTTCACACAGACACACATACCCAACACATACCCAATTGTTATGTTTACCATCTAACCTAATGAAGAGCTCTGGAGAAGAAACTATTATTTTGATTTTACAAAGTTGGAATGCTGTGCATACTTACTCAGGCATAAGTCCCTAAGACTTCAGTCAGGCTCAGTAGAATTGAAGCTACGTGTTTCTTTCACCATGACTTTACAGCAATACACATGCCCATGTACTGAAACAATACATTTATTGTCAGCTGTTTTGTTTCAAAATTGAATTATTTTCCGCTTGTACACTGTGCAGCTACAAATGAATTTCAGATTGCAATGACACCTTTGAAAACAAAATTGGGGACGGTGCGGACAGTCCACCACAAACTCTCTATGCAAGCAAGTCCCATTGAAATGAATGGGAGTTGTGCATATCCTCCCCATGATGCTGAACCTTTTTATAGTAACATTTCCCAGAACTGCAAAAAATTAAATATGCTAAAGATTTAGACTTTTTCAATGTTCCAGCTTAACCATCTTGATAGCATCCTCACAGAACTTTTACAACAAGCTGTTATTAACGTCACAACTTGTAATGAATCACACAAACAGCATGCTGCCAAATCCTCATTATATATAAAAAAAAAACCATCCCCTGGAAGATGAAACACTGGCAATGCATTGAGTAAAACAGGCTTTCGGTTGTAGAAGGAAATGTGGGGCTTTTTTTGTCTTCAAGGAAAATGGCTTGGACTATGAAGCCTGTCTGGTGGCTCAGTGTGATGCCTTGGTTGACGCTTTGACTCGCCAGAAGGCAAAACTGCTCACAAAAGTTACCAAAGAGCGTGAACACAAGTTAAAGGTGAGTGAAAATTTCGTTTGACAACACCCATAAATGCGTAGGCTTATGTGAGATACCATCCGCTGGGTACTGCCCCATTAGAATGAGGGCCATTTGTTATCATGGCAAATGAACTCTAAAACCACATTTATGTGATAACATAAAGTCAAGGACATGCAGGACATTGTAGGAGAAGGTTGGTGGCAGTGGTGGAAACCAGTGTGTTCACCCCTTACTGTGTCTGCTGATTCTTCCCTGAAAATGCTCCCTGGCCATTCCCCACTGCTACTGCAACCAGGCTTACACCAGGATAGATAAAGAAAAGATATATTGAGTTGGCCTATCCGTATCCAATGGTGGCTGGTCAATGCCCCTTTAAACCTTACAACTAGGGCATGCTAGAGATACCACACCCTCTTTGTTTCCAGTCTATGGTAATCAGAGGTATATTGTCTCTGAGCATAGAACTTCCATTTTTTATATGTATTTTATTTTTAATTTCTTTAATGGATTGTCTTAAGCATGAATTATCCAAATTATTTAGCATCATTAAAATTATGATGAAATTCTTATAAAGAACTAGGGCTAAGTAATGACAACTAAATGGCACTGATGCAGATGAGGTGGTGTCCATATGGCTGCAAGAGCCTTTGCTTTCCTGCTGTTGCTTCCGAAATAAGTTATTTAATTCAGTGAAAGCCCAGAGGATTATCTACTATACATGGAATTTCCCCCTCCCCAGGTTGTTTGGGACCAGATAAACCACTGTACTCTGAAACTTCGCCAGTCTACAGGGCTTATGGAATATTGTCTTGAAGTAATCAAAGAAAATGACCCTTCTGGGTTTTTACAGGTATGTTGCCTCTTAATGTTGTGATTAATGAGAAAATAATAATGAAGCATTGTACTTCTGAAGCCCCACGTGTGCTCGCTCATTAAGCATTAAGCTCATTAAGCTCATTAAGCATTCATCCTGATCTGTTTGGAAGCAGGTTAGAAGATGCTGAAAATTTAGTGAGCACTTACCCTAATTTGTTAGAAGATGCTGAAAATTTAGTGAGCACTTACCCTAATTTGTTCAGAGAGGTTAGACAATGTTGCATCAAGCGTTAGCCCAAACTTTCCAATGCATTTTCCCCAACCACTTTCCTTATCACAAAAATTATATAATTTGCAGAAGCAGGTTTGTTGCACAAGACCTCCCAATCAACTGGAATTGTGCAACTGGAATTTTCCAATATGTGACTGATTCCACTAAAAAAAAAGTGAGAATCTGAAAGTGCCCTCTGATGGAAAGTACCCCATGTTTGCACAGGTCTTGTGCATTCAAACATGGGGTACTCCATCCATTTCAATGGCAGAAGCCAGGGATAAGTGGACTCCTCTGAGACTGGTCCATTTGCATCAGTTTAATCTCTCCCATGTTTTTCTCATAATGGATTGTTCCAACCAGAGTACACAGGCAAAAAGAATTGCCGCGCGCTGTTCAAGACTTGGTGGCTACAACAAAAGCTGAGGACACAATTCTGGGCCAGCCCTAGAGTGTCCTCTATAGAGCACCTGTACCCACAATTTGCATGAGTCACAATAAATTTTAAATGGTTATTTTATAGCTTGGGTATTAAATGTTTCCCTTTCAGATTTCAGATGCTTTAATCAAACGTGTTCAAGTGTCTCAGGAGCAGTGGGTCAAAGGAGCTCTGGAACCCAAAGTATCTGCTGAATTTGATCTCACTCTGGATAGCGAGCCATTGTTGCAGTCAATTCATCAGCTGGACTTCATTCAGATGAAATGTAGGGGTGAGCTTTTGTAGATTGCTTTTCTTTCTCTCTCTCTCTCTTTCTCTCTTTTACACCAGGATTTCAAAAAGCAGCGGGTGACAGTGAAAGATGGGAATTTCTTATCCAGATGTAACCAAGCATTTGTGTGATGAGAAAACCCTTTCCCCTTCCTGTGACCCTAACAAGCTCAGACAGTAGTAATAGATAATGTTAGACATCTGAGAATATGAAAAGCTTCAGACTGGGCCATCTGTTCTTTTCTTAAGTGAAGACGTTTACCGACATAACTGTAACTTTATAAAAAAAAATTAGCCTTGCCCCATTTTGGAGCATTGCAGATCAACAGTAGAAGTCATTTCAATTACCCATACAATCATGCTTGCCCTCATTCGTAGGCTGCATTATTCTTAAAATGTGTGAAAGAACCATATTCATCTAGAGTTGACATTAATTTGTTCCCCAAAATTCTTCTGCGTGGATTTGGGTGTTAAATATTTTCCAGTATGCTCTGTTTGTACATTTTGATATTTGATGCCTGCGTTTTACATCTAATAATATCTGATTTCAATATTTGCCATTTTGCTTTAGTATTCGAGTTCAGAATTTCACAGCTCACATGGAATTGTAAAGCATTTCCGTGTATTCGCTGCATGATACGCAGTGATCATTACCATTTGACAGTTTGGTCAGTTATCATGTGCCGGTATAAGTATTTGTATTGATAGCTGATGTGAAATTGTATTCAGTATGCAATAGTATTGTCTGATGTGAAATAGTATTGTGGTTTTTTATTTTAATTGGCAGCTGTCATCCAACAGGATTTGATGTCTGAAAACTGTTAAGGTTTAATATTTGACAACGGGGGAAATGCTGCAATTCAGTGATTCAGCATCAGGTCCCAAATTTAGTCCCTGGAACCTCCAGATAGAACTGGGCATGTCCCCAGTCTGAAACCCAGTCAGTTTAGACAAAAGTGAGCTAGATGGACCAAAAGTCTGACTTAAGCAGCTTCCTATGTTTCTAAATTCTGACAGTAGTTGATAGCCTATGGCTTACTGCATTTGCTATTTGAGCCTAGCAATTTATATATACACACAGAGAGAATATGTGAACAATAATGCATTCAAATGTTGAATTCAAAATTCAGATGTAGAAATCGTTAATTTCAAATTTCCTTTCTGCTGTAGCGTAAAATTTTGAGAAAGAGGAGAGTGTCATGTGGACATGGCAAATGATGAATGCTCTGAGGATAGTCTATATGAAAGGGAGAAACCTTGTGAACTCACAGCCTCGTTTATTATGAGCATAGGGCATATTAAGCAGTTTCCAGAGGCACAGCTGAAACTTATCCTTTGTCAAAGACACATAGACACATTGTAGCTGTATAAGCAATGTTGTAACCCGCACTGGGACCTTAGGGTAATGTAACAACAATTTTCTTTATAATCAAGTGGTGTACCAATTTTATGAAATAAACAAATAATAACAGCTCTTTGAGCTGGTGTATCATTTGATAGGTAAATTCTATTGCGTAAACTTGTCCCTGATTTATCCCATTTGAGCCAGCATATGCTAAAACAATGAAGGTGTGAATTCAGAAGCCTAAGGACTGTGGTCCTTGGAGGCTATGTCCCAGGAGGACATTCGATCAGCTGGTGCAGCCTGCACCTTTCTGTAATTTATCCCCCTCAGTTATATGATACTCCATTTGTATTTTGTCCAAAGAGAGTGAATGCCTCAGCAAAACCTACCAGCTTCTCTTCAGTATCCCTTTTGGCATTCTGAACAGGCATTGCCCAGAAAGATTGTTCTTGCAATTCTGCTGCTTGGAAGAGCAGGCTAGAGCCCCTACTTAGGATGAAAGCTACTCATGAGTGGCTGCTCCAGCCTGATGATTCTTTTGAGCTGCTTTTTATGGGAATGTGCATATTGCAAGTGCCCAAAGATCAGCACAGGAACAAAGAGGGACAAACAAAAATGAAATAAAATGAAAGACAACAATGGGTCAATTTCCTTTGATGCAACACAGAAGACTGCTAGGCGATTTCTGCTGGAAGGAATTGCATGGTTCATAGGTAAATGATGTTACCAGCACTATTCATCTTTACAAGAATCCTTAGTAATTTTTTATCCTTGTTCATCCAAAGCTCATTTGATTTCAGTTGGCTTAATTCTGAACTCTAAAGGCTCAATCTAAAGCAATTAGGTCAGTTAATTTGACAGCTAAATCCTTGAGGAACAACAGAAAAATGCTTGAATTTAGGAAAGTAGTTAAAGGCAAAAATATGCTCCCCAAAAGGGTATTGTTTCCTAAACTAAATGGGTTATATTAATGAAGCCACTGAAAGAACATCAGCAAATTGCAACATCAAAAATTAAAAAAACCCAGAAAAGAATATGCTGATGAGGAGAATTTAAGGTGAAGTCTCTCTTAGATTGTATAATTGCAAAACCTGGTCTCAATTTGGATGTATTTTATTATTATTTGATAGCTTCTATTTGCTAGTGTAAGGGACGCGGGTGGCGCTGTGGTTTAAACCACAGAGCCTAGGACTTGCCGATCAGAAGGTCATGGTTCAAATCCCCGCAACGGGGTGAGTTCCCGTTGCTCAGTCCCTGCTCCTGCCAACCTAGCAGTTCGAAAGCACATCAAAGTGCAAGTAGATAAATAGGTACTGCTCCGGCGGGAAGGTAAACGGCGTTTTCGTGCGCTGCTCTGGTTCACCAGAAGCGGCTTAGTCATGCTGGCCACAAGACCCGGAAGCTGTACGCCGGCTCCCTCGGCCAGTAAACCGAGATGAGCACCGCAACCCCAGAGTCGGCCACGACTGGACCTAATGGTCAGGGGTCCCTTTACCTTATTTGCCAGTACAAGAATTTGGACTGTAATGTTTCCATTATAACAGGTGTCTTCTTGTATGTTTAGGCAGGTAACAGGCATAAGGAGGGATGCTGTGCTTCCTTTCTTCAGTGACAAACCATCTATATCCAATTTGCCCCATATTATGTTGGGATGTGTGTCCATCTCTTTCCCAGTGCTGCTGCCTTCTCAGTCTGAAGCTGGCTGCCTCTAAGGGCCAGAGCAGCAGAGATGTTAAATTTGCCACTTCCAGCTCTCGGATTCATAAGCTATTGCCTGCACGGGCTGTTTTCCTTTTTTGCAAACCCATACGTGCAGTTCCTGAGTTTAGTGGATGCTTTCTGAAAAGGACACACCAAGTATACAAATAGGCTCCATAGGGAGTGGGGTAAAGACGTCTTAGATGTCTGCCTCTTCTCATCACTCTCTCTGGGTGAGAGTGGTAATCATGACCAGGGAGAAGAGTCGGTGGAAGAAGATTGGAAGAAATTTAAAGACTACCTACAGAAATATTGTAAAATTAATGAATGTTAGAATGATGTTGGATGAAAAGTTATGTGGTTTTTAGCTATAACGCTATAAGGAGTATGAAAAAAAATGGACTGTTAACAGACAAAAATTTAATGTTACATTATTTTAAGATTAAAGATTAGGATAAACAAAGAGGGGAAGGATTTGCTGAACTAACAAATTGAACTGGAATACAAAAAGGGAGGTGTGAGGAGGTCCGGGAAATAAGCAAATGAAAGAAAGTGATGGAAAGATGGAATTGTTTTTTATCTATTTTTATTTTGTATTTTTCTTTTTTCTTTTTTCATTTTGTAAAATTCTAATAAATATCTTTTTTTAAAAAAAAGAGAGTGGTAATCATGGGTGCAGTGAGTTGGGTTTCTATGGCAAGGCAGTTGCAATTTTGTACGTGCAATTTGTACAAAAAGCTTGGGTGGAATATGAGTTGTCTGGGAAGTTAGAATGAAGAAACCAGGGGACAGAAATGGGTGCAGATGTTCTGTGATGGTTTTCTAGTAGTTAGGCTGTCCAGGGATGTCTATGTTGTACTAGGACAACTTTAAGCTTAAATGAATAATATATACTTAAATGGTGGATTATTATAAATGGCAGAATGAAGTCATGAAATGCTTTTAACAAGCTTCTGTCCTTATTCAACCTTACTGAGAAATGAATGTCTGCCCTTAGCTATGCTGTGTTTTCTACTAAGGAGAAGGAAAATGAGGATCAGACTGTATTAAAATGTGTGTGCATTTCTTGCCATTGGTGAAATAACTCTTCCTCTCCAAAAGTATAATTTCATCAATAATACAGAAAAGTAGAGCTTCTTTAGCATTGCTCTAGGAACAGATTAATTAGTAATGTTATGTTAGAGAAATCTTGAATTATTACCTATTAGTAACATAATTCTTAAAATAGCTAGATATTCACAGCCTATTTGCTGTGCTCTTAGGAATAGACTTGGCAGTAGCTATTTCACTAGCTATAAGGCACCAAAGATTTGAAAACTAGGACTCTTACTGCATTGCAGGGGTTGGACTAGATGACCCTTCGAATCCCTTCCAGCTCTATGATTCTTTGACTTCTATGTTCATTAATTTCAATGGGTCTAACTCTTGAGTAAACTTTAGTTGAACACCACCCATAACTTCATGCACCTCTTGAGGCAGCATGTTTGCTAAAGAGCTTGCAGGCTGAATTTTTTTTACCCAAATGTCTAGACGGCATTATGTCCCCCACCAGCTGACTTATACCTTGTCACATGGCCAGGGGAGCCAGCATAGTTCTGCCTGTCCTTATTACGTCTCATGTTCTGGGCCTGCTCTTCAAACTGAACCTATATACTGTTGTTGCCATCCAACTTCCTCGCGAGATGGAGTGCAGCTCCGTGGATGAAGTCAAACCACTGTGTAACAGCACTGAAGTGAGCTTCCCTTGGATGCAAACCTGGGCAGTGTATATGGAGGTCCTGGGATTTTCCCAGCCACTCTGAGTGGCTTCCCGCAAAATATTAAAATACAAGAATTCATCAAATATTAAAAACTTTCCTAAACAGGGCTGCCTTCAGATGTCTTTTAAAAGTCAGGTAGTTGTTTAATTCTTTGACATCTGATGGGAGGGCATTCCACAGGGCGGGCGCCACTACCAAGAAGGCCCTCTGCCTGGTTCCCTGTAACTTGGCTTCTCGCAATGAGGGAACCACCAGAAGGCCCCCAGAGCTGGGCCTCAGTGTCTGGGCTGAACGATGGGGGTGGAGACACTCCTTCAGGTATACTGGACCGAGGCCGTTTAGGGCATTAAAGGTCAGCACCAACACTTTGAATTGTGCCCAGAGACGTACTCGGAGCCAATGTAGACACACGCACCCCCTCGGCCTTGCTGGTGTGGTCCAAAGGTGTATACATATTGCTGTTTATTCCAGCTCCAGGAGCTATCACTGCTGGTGTTTGAAGTACAGTGGTACCTCAGGTTACATACACTTCAGGTTACATACGCTTCAGGTTACATACTCCGCTAACCCAGAAATAGTGCTTCAGGTTAAGAACTTTGCTTCAGGTTGAGAACAGAAATTGTGCTCTGGCGGCCCGGTGGCAGCGGGAGGCTCCATTAGCTAAAGTAGTGCTTCAGGTTAAGAACAGTTTCAGGTTAAGTACGGACCTCCGGAACGAATTAAGTACTTAACCCGAGGTACCACTGTAATGTACACATGACATTAACTACATTCCATATCTATCCTTTTCAGACCATTTAAATTTCAGCACTTCCTTCAGCTTCTATAATTGGGACTCTTAATGTTTGTACCCATACTTAGCTTTTTAGTAATAGTTTTGTATTGGTGTCCAAACAGCCATCTGTCACACAGATTTCCTCTGCTGTATTACAAAATCCTCAAATGCATCACTTCTAACATGGCTCCATCCTGGCTGAGTTTTGATGGCACTCCACCTAGTACCGATTTCTGTGTTGGCCACACCCTATTCCAAATATTGCTCTCCACTCATTGCTCTACTGATATGTCACCAGATGCTTTCCTGCCCATCTGTTGCCTCATGCATTGTGCTCTGTTGGCTCTGCTTCAAAGGTTAAACCACAAAATTTCAGCCACAGAATTCTTGCAGGAAAAGAAACCCTGTCTGGTGGAATCTAGACACATATCAAAACCGCTCTGAAAATACTTTTTTTAAAAAAAGATTTTTTAAAAATAAATAAACAATACATTGAATTTTCCATAAGACTCACCACTGCCATCTAGTGTCACATTGTATATTGCACTTAAAACACACTTGAAACGTTTTATTTGCAGCTGTATAGCTGAGTCCACTGTAGATGGCAAGCTTAACTGGAATGTCACCTATTCACATTAAATCCCTAAACTCTTTTGTAGTGAGAATTTTGTCAATAGACATATGATACACATTTGACGTGGCACCTTTTACCTCGGAGCAGAAAGAATGCTCCACTATATCACCATGTGGGAAGTTAGGGGGCATATGTGGCCTGTGGGTTACACAAATCTGATTTATACCAATCGAAATGCCAGCCTAGTTAATATCAACCAAGGTGACATTTTGCCTTCATCCAATCAGTAAAAGTCAGGGTTTCAGAGATAAAGTGCTGCAACAGTTATGAGCAGAAGTAAAATAAAAGTTAATAACACATTAGTGTTTAGTAGAAGAATGTGTGGTTCAATTATAGAGATGCAGGTTCTAGGTAAATAAAGGTAAAGGGACCCCTGACCATTAGGTCCAGTCGAGGCCGACTCTTGGGTTGCGGCGCTCATCTCACTTTATTGGCCGAGGGAGCCGGCGTACAGCTTCCAGGTCATGTGGCCAGCATAACTATGCTGCTTCTGGCGAACCAGAGCAGCACACAGAAACACTGTTTACCTTCCCGCTGGAGTGGTACCTATTTATCTACTTGCACTTTGACATGCTTTTGAACTGATAGGTTGGCAGGAGCAGGGACCGAGCAACGGGAGCTCACCCTGTTGCGGGGATTCGAACTGCCGACCTTTTGATCAGCAAGTCCTAGGCTCTGTGGTTTAACCCACAGCGCCACCCGCGTCCCCTAGGTGAATAGTGAGTGCCGAATGCACACCAATGCCCAATTGCATTATTCTGTGTTTAGGCTATGGATAACCATTCTGCTTCCAAATAAAGAAAAGAAAAGAAAGCCAAGAGATGAGTTGAGAGGTGGGATCTTGAACAAACTGGGTGTGCTGTGAAGTAATCAGATGATGACTTTGCCAAAGATTCACTGTTCACCGCTTTCCCAGATATGGATCTTCCTTATGGTTAAAAACAAACAAACACAAGGCCCTGTTAATTGGTCATAAAACTGCAATCCTCGGGATTGTTGCTCCAGAAATGTTCCCCTGAGTGTTAAGTGCCAAGAGAGCTGCAACTGCGATTCCAGTTGCGATGTGTGTGGATTTTGCTGCTTGTCACACGGGTGAGGGCAGAGTTGCACTAATTGGTGCTTAGTTTCTGTTTCAGTGCCGCCAGTCCCACTCCTGCAGCTGGAGAAGTGCTGCACTCGAAACAACAGCGTGACCCTCGCCTGGAGGATGCCACCTTTTAGCCATAACCCAGTGGAAGGTTACATCTTGGAACTCGATGATGGAGACGGTGGCCAATTCCGAGTGAGACCTTCGTTCCTGGTTGATTTATGTTTGGCATCCTTAAACAACTGCTTGTATTGCCTACTCGTGCTTAGTATCAAATTGAAAATGTTTTCAATCCAGTCTTAACCTGTCCCTGAAGAGGACCCTTCCCTTCCCCATGACCAGGGGTCTGCAACCCATGGCTTCCGGAGCCGCATGTGGCTCTTTACACCTTTGCCGTGGCTCCGGGGTGGATACTAGCGAGGGGAGGAGGCGCATTGTGTGCCCCGACACTCTCCACTGTGGTGGGTGCTGTACTTGCTGTGACGTCGCATGGGGGTGGTGCGTGCGTTAGTCACGCACCGTCCCGACGTCACCTTCCCGCCCACAGTCAGATCGCGGCTCCGGAGATATATTTGTTTTAAATGTCGCAATGGTTTTGCGGCTCCCAGTTTTTTCCCCCCTTCGGAAATGGGTCCAAGTGGCTCTTTTTGTCTTAAAGGTTGCAGACCCCTGCCCATGACAGAAGAATAAAGTCACATCCACAACATATATTAAAAGGACAATTATACCACTTTAACGGTCACAGCTTCCTCCAAACAATCCTGGGATCCCCTGACAGAGCATCCTTAACAAACTATAGAGCAGAGGGTGATGATATGAATCAGGTTTTTCCGTGGTGGCTTGCTGTTTGTGGAATGTCTTGCCAGGGTGCGATCTGTTTTTAGGCACCAGTCGTATAGCCAATCCAGATAATGATGGTGTCCACGAAACCAAAAAAAAAAAAAAAAGATTCCCTTTCCTAATCTAAGGGGATGGGGCTTAGGAAGAGAGGGAGGTTGGACTGGCAAGTAGTGCAAGCCGGGGCAAGCCCCCTAGTACTGCAAATTCTCCTTGCATGGTCGCAACATTGCTGAGATTAATTGTTTTGCAACAAGAAATTACATGCGGGTTACTTTTAGGAAAAGCCCAGGTTAAAAAGAATTTGGTGAACTCAGTTGCTGCCTTTCTCGTTGTCTAGGAAGTGTATGTTGGTAAGGAGACCCTATGCACTATTGATGGCCTTCATTTCAACAGTACATACAATGCAAGAGTCAAAGCCTTTAATTCATCAGGAGTGGGTCCTTATAGCAAGACTGTTGTTTTACAGACTTCTGATGGTGAGTAACTTTAAAGATATGTAAAGTTACTTCTAAAGATTTCTCTTTGTCTAAAATCTATGGAAGCTTTGAGATTCTGGCAGTTTTCGGAACAACTGTTTCCAACTCAGTTATAGAGTCCAGGTGAACTGCTGGGCCTTGCTGTGTGTAAATAGAAACTGTTGGGGTGTTGTGTGGGTCAACGGCATGCAATTAGGTGACAGGAAACTTGGTTACAGTGAAACCTAATGAAGATTGGGTTTGCTCAGCCTCCATAAGCATCACTGCATTTATGTAGGTACTTTCGCACTTTGTACTTTGCTCTAACATGGACTGAGAATGTCCCACAATTTGATAGACCTATTAATGTTGGTTGGCAAGGAAAAAATAGGTATAAAAGGAGAATTCCCTGGATGCCCAGTACTCTTTGGTGAAAGAACCCCAGCAGGGATTTAAAATCACAAAATATGCAGCAAAGTAAAGCATGGAAATATAGGCTGTTAGACCTTTAAAATATATCCTCGTGAGTTCTAAAACTCCCCTATTCCAAAGTTCCCCACTTCGCCAGCATAGAAGAAGATCACATGTTTGATAAGTTTAGATGGTTCACTTACAAACTCTCCAAAGGTCAAATTCATCTGCTTTTCCATACAGCATTCAGAAAACACAGGCAGTGAATCTTGGCCAAGTTACAGTAGGAACACAATAATGCAGTCAAAGCTTGGAGCAACCAGCTCACACCTCTTTACACGTTTTTCTGGTAGAATGAAATGCAACAATAGGCTTGATTACCTTCCTCCCAAGGAGAGGTAGAGTGACCAAGCAAAGCCTGGCAGGGCAGATTACTACTCTATAGCATTAACCCCTTCATGTGTTAATTAGATTTAAGCGTATCGTGTGTATTAGGTTGGTTATCCCACAGTTAATGCTTTGAATATGTCCAGGGCCAGACCAAAATATTGATTGAACTAAATCTCAGTGTAAATCTTTGAACTTTTTAACCATCATTAAACAACAGAAAAAGCATCAAATTCAAAAAGCACTGAATTAGAGCTGGAAAGGAAAAACCAGGAACATTGCAGATTCTTCTTTTCATCATTTTGTTCGTTTTCAAGATGCAGCTTGTTCAAGCAGCACCTACAGATGAATATTTTGGTTCAATTTCAGTGTGTTGCTGATTCTTCTTTTGAAATTGTCATGTGAAGTCATATGACACCATGCGATTGATAGGTGGCAGCCCCACCCACCTGTCAAAGTAGCCCACTCAGGGTTAGTGAGAAAAGGAGTACTGTGTGGCACACACATAGTTTGTAGAAAATATTATGTGTGGGGTTTTTTTTAAAAAATAAAAATAAATAAATCCATGTTTCATTGTGGGAAATCAGTTGATTTCACTACCTTATTAACTAATCCTTTAAACTCTTAATATTTAACAACATTTGAAACAGGGTGAGGGGGAAAGTGGTCCTGTGAAACTAGAAAGATGGTGAAGTTTATGGAACTGAAAACTGTATGTAGACCCTTGAACTTTTGGCACCTAAAAGCTAGAAGCTACTTCTGTAGAAAATGGAGATGTCCATTGCTTTTACAGCCCCATTTCCCTAATTATACATCTGTGATGAATTCCAGAGCTTAATTACATTTTCTCTCTGTGGAAATAATTTCCTAGCAATGTCTTATAAAATATGGATGTTAATTCAGGCTTCGGTTCTCTGTAATTACACTTGCTATCCATATGGGCAACCGAAGAAATTAATATTGATTAATGATACTTAACTGTCATGAATCACAAAACACATGTTAATCTCATTCTCTCTTCATATTCATGTTGCCAAACTATGTCAGGAAAAACCATTTGTTCCCAAGAATCTCTTTTCTTTTTTAAAAAAAGTCTTCAGAGGAACATGATTTGTAATCAACCTGGCAAAATATGATAGAGCAAAATATGCAAGCCTGAGCGAAGGGATAAGTTGCAGCTAAATTGCCAAGATGAACAATTTTGGATTGTGAGAAGATGAAGATTTGCCTATTTGTTGTTTATGTAGCTCATCCGGGATGTTCAGTGTCGTACAACAAAGCTAGTTGCTAAGGCTAGAATTAGACATTCTAGCAGATGTGTGGCTGCTGCCAGAAACAGAAGCCTTAACTCTTAATTCTTTCTGGTAGTGATACAGAATGAAGCTACCACATTGTGAATTTCTGTGGCTTCACAAGAACCAGCCAATGAAATCAGAGTGAGAATAGGGAGATCTGGAGCACAATGATGTCATGCAATATTACACAACGATGTCATGTAATGCCACACATTTTCATCAGTAGATTTGCTCCTTGGGGGGGAAAGGTGGGATATAAATGCAATAAATTAATAAATGCAAGGAACCATTTTGTTGTACATATTATCATGCATATTACCATACATTGGCAGTCGATGTGTAATAAAAATTCTCCTTATCACTTGACGAAGGTGATAAAAGAGACCAAGTTATGTTGAGGTAAAGAAGTATATAGTTGCATAGATTGGTTGTCTGAATGGACTTCAGCATAACATCCTTAGCTCTCAGTTAGTGCAATCAATGGAACTTAAATGTGATTTATTTATTTACTGCAGGGATAGGGATCCTCAAGCCTAGGAGCCCAAGGTCCCCCTGGACTTGTCTACCTGGCCTTTGGGACTCTCTCAAAGACACCCTCAGCCACAGCCCCTCTCCCCAGACCACCCCTCTCCCCTCCCCTGCTTTGCACCCCCTCCTTTTTGCCTGGCAGCAAAATGTCATTGGATTTTGATCCTGCTTCTTGCTTGCCTGGATAGAAGATAAAGAGAGGTCTGTGTAAGAACTAGACTCCAGTGCAAAAGTAAACTTTGTCATACCGTTCAACGTGCCACAGAGAAAAATTGAAACACATGACTTTGGGGGCCCCACTCTCACAGGAGCCAGGTGACTTGTGCGAGAACACAGCTTCCCAGAATGGGCGTCTTTTGGGGCTGCACTCTCGTGGGAGTCAAACGGGACATCCCAGGATACAGGTTTCTGTAATACCAGGATGTCCCGCTTAAAGTGGGACAGTTGAGGCGTATGTTCTGTTGCTCTGCCCTTATTATGTACTGAAATTCTCACCCTGGGCCAGCAGGGGGATACTGTAGATAGTTATGCAAATGAAGGATCGAAAGTGACGTTCAGTGATTGGATAGTTTTAGAAAGTTGTTACAGTAACATGGTACTGGAGCTCTATGTAAGCAGGCTGACTGAGCCCTTCAGTTCAGTTCTGTCCTGGCCTGTGAATAAACAAGAGCTGTTTGAAGAATCGCTGTGTTGTCTGATATGTTCACCCACAACTTAACAGCCCTCTTTTGCCATTGACTCAAACTAGCAGTGGCATGTGGCCCTGGAAGGTTTCCCAGAAGGAAAAGCGTCGCTTGGACTTAGTACATTTGTATCCTACCTGTCTTCCATCATGGAACTCAGGGTAGCCAGGCCACAATCTGTCTTCTTCACCTGCTGATCCGGTGCTACTCTTCCAAGATAGGGTGTAACAAACCAGTGCCTTTTGTGGCATCCTTCTAATCTGTCTACACTTTCTTTCTCAATAGTGGCCTGGTTTACATTTGATCCCTCTTCAGCCCATCGGGACATAGTCCTTTCAAACGACAATCAGACTGCTACTTGCAGTAGCTATGATGACCGCGTCATCCTGGGCACAGCAGCTTTCTCAAAGGGGATCCACTACTGGGAACTGCATGTAGACCGTTATGATAACCATCCAGATCCAGCCTTTGGAATTGCTAGAATCAACGTCGTCAAGGACATGATGCTAGGAAAGGATGACAAGGCATGGGCTATGTACGTTGACAACAACCGCAGCTGGTTCATGCACTGCAATTCTCACACCAATCGGTAAGCATCCAAGAACATTTTCTCATGTGCATGTGGAACTTTCCCCCCTCAGGAAGTCACTTCTCAAGAGAGAGGGCTTTTGGGAAGCCTTCCAGCATTTCAAGAGCATGCTTCATCAATTCTAGACATTGCAAACTTTCCCCATAAATCAGAAGCTTATTGCTGTGTAGTTCTGTTGACATTTGTTGACATTATAACTTCATTATTTTTTATGGCATCTATGGACCAAGCTAGATGCAATATGAGCAGCCACTTAATTTAAACCTGGGCCTGCTTCAATCACATATAAATCAGCGAATGGAGAGAAGACTGACAATAAGGACACCCAAGTGGCATGTACTAAACTTCCCCACCAAAATATCACCTCAAGACAGCCTCTATTCCAATCATTTTTCTCTCCAACCAAGCTCTAATTTTGGAAGTATGGATGGGGCAGAAATCTGATTCATTTCTCACTTAAACACAAACTTGCCTAATTCACAGTTTCCGAAAGAATACATGAACCGAAACACAGTCATCCTTTGAAATCTGCACTTCTCTAGATTTTCCAATGCTGTTCTCCAGCAAAACAATGTGTACAAAAATGCATATACCAGGGTGAAAATGTACCTATAAATGTGCATAATAGTGAAAATTGCATTATACATTTGGAATACTGAATACATTTCTGGTCACTTCACCTCACCTCACCACAAAAAAGATCCAGTGGAACCTCGGCTCCTGAACCCCTTAGGAGCCAAACGTTCCAGCTCCCAGATGATCAAAACCCGGAAATGATTGTTCTAGTTTTTGAACATTCTTTGGAAGCTGAATGTCCGATGTGGCTTCCACGGCTTCCGATTGGCCACAAGAAGCTCCTGCAGCCAATCGGTAGCCTCACCTTGGTTCCTGAACCGTTTTGGGAGTCGAACGGACTCCCGGAATGGATTAAGTTTGGGAACCAAGGTTTCACTGTATTGTAAAGTTGGAAAAGGTTCAAAAGGTGGCTATCCAGTTGATCAATGGGATGGAGCAACTCCCCTATGAGGAAAGGGCACGTGGTGAAGCAACCTGGTGATGATTTCCTCAGAATCTGAACTGCTACATAGACTGAGCCAACCCATATTTAGAGGCATTGTGTAAATTGGCTACTAATTTCTGTGCCAGTGGAAAAACTGTGCTCCATCTCAGTTCTGGAAACTTTCAGATATTTGAAGATCATTATAAAGGCTATATATTATTCTCTTTACAATAAATGTTGGTTTGCATGTTATACCTAAGCAGAGAAAGCAGCTGGGCAAGTGAAGCCTTGTGTGTGTGGCAGAAACATGTCTGTTGGCCTCCCCACCTCATACGCCAGACTCCCTGATGTTGGAGATGACACTTGCATAAAAGTGCATAGGCTATGTACCCAAAATTTGTATCCTTGGCAAATTGAGGGTATGAACCATAAATTCAGAGCCTGCACATGTTGGCATGGATGCACATAACCACCCCCTGATTAGAGTGGTTGCCCAGTGCATGGAGACTGAGCGTGGCAAGGCGGTGTGGTCAACGTCTGTGTTCCTGAACATGCATACACAACACATACATCCATGTGTGGAATGACTATCTGCACAGAGGTCAAGGTACAATTTTGCTTGTGCTGCTTTGGCTATAAAGAGTCAAAGAAAGGCTCTCAGTGGTGGTAAAATCTGCAGCGAGATTCAGGCATTGTTTCTTTGTTTATTTATATATTAAAATGGTCAGTTGCTTTATCTTGCCCAGGGCAACCCCAAGTGACCTACAACCAACAAATAGTCAATAAACCCCACATAGAGTAGAGACATTAAAACCAAGAAGAATGAGAAATCCATTAAAAACATCCCACCCACAGATGGATCAGAGATGGCATTGCTAGATCCTGCTACAGGAGAAGCTTTTCAGTGCAGTGTCTGAATTAGTGCTTCACTAATTTAAACGCTTCCTGTGGCATTCTTCTCAATAAGGTTTTTTTTTTAATCTTCCCTGCTGCATGCTGGGATTTTATCCATCTTCGCTATGCCCATTTTAAAATGTGGAGAAAATAATGTGACACCTAAGATTTGAATGGAGAAACTGAATCACTTAACATTGTCTTAGAACAGAATGAAAAATTGATGTAAAGGGAGGAAATAAGGATAGCCCTGCTAAACAACAACAGCAGCTCAAATTTAACATTTATATGTGGCACTTTCAAGTATGTGATGTGGCCGTCACATAGATTATCTAGTAGCAGTCCTTACTAGAACCCTGTAAGTTTAGTACTATTACCCTCCTGTATTGCAGATGATAGTACTTAAGACTGCGGGAAATTGGTTTTTCTAAGGCCATCTAGTGAATTTATGGCAGAGATGAGAATCAAGCCAGGGTCTCCTAGACTTGTAATTCGCTTTCCTGAGCACTATGCTACACCAGCAGCCTGATAAAGACTTGACTTTGATTTCACCAAACCCGAGCCCTTGTCCAGCTTCTCTGCCCACAGTACACACAAAAAGAATAATCAATAAGGCTTGCTTGGGGATCCTTACCATTCTGTCAAATCCTGTCTATTATCCATTTCCTCATTGTTGAGCCAAGCAGCTTAGCTATGATTAACTCCAGCCTTTCCCCCCTCTACTAGCCCTGGAATGCTGATTCTATATTTCAGGAATGGAATTCCACTAGATCCAGAACTTTAACATATGTTTAACGTGTGAGGTGGAAATGAAACACCATCTTGGTCCCTTCTTTCGTGAGCCCAAGACTTATGATCCACAGCTCAGGAACAGATAGATTAATTGCATTTATTTTAGACAACCTGCATATTGCATATTACACTGGCATAGCAGGGTCATAGGATGGAAAAATAGGCTTGAGATCTGCTCAAAAGTTCCTAAAGACAATGAGCATGTTTCCATTTCTTTTCTCTGTTCAGAATAATTTTAAACCTGCCGAGAGTAATGTTTCCCCAAAAACAATACACATCAAAGGCTCAGATATCTGCCCCTTTAAAACCCTGATTAGAGTTTAAAGAGGAAATAATGTTAATCTCTACTAAATTTAGAACACTGTGCTGCTTTCAGGCCATGTTGTATTGCGACAAAATGGCAGCACTCACTCATTGCCCTAGAAACCTACTTTATTAATGTATTCTCAGGCATACTGGATTATAGGCACACAATCTATTTTATGAAATATCACCAAAGCTTAATAAAAAGCTATTCTGTGGAGGACACAGAAGGGAAATACTTTTTTCAGATTATTATTCATTTTAAAATTATATTATTATATTATATTATATTATATTATAATTATATTATTATATTATATTATATTATATTATATTATATTATAATATACAAATTGAGTGCTATTGCCTTTACTCAAGATAAATTACAGAATATCACAAAACAGTGATCAGACAGAAGTAACTAAATACATTAATGTCAAGACCATAATTTTTGCTTCTAGCGGCCATGGGATGCTCTTATCATTTCCCCCCTATTATTTGCTTACGATCTTTCAGTCCCACAGTTTCACCCAATCTAGACAGCTGAGTGGTTTGTCCTACCTTTGCCAGCCACTACTTTATGGTGGGAGTGTTTGGTATTGTAATCAGTTTCTGTTACTTACAGTTTTTACTGCTATTAATAAATCTATTACCAATGGATTCTGAGCTGTCAGTACCATGTCATACATAAATACAAATGGCAAAACTGTAGAATATGTTATAATTTTTTATCTTGTTGATTTCCTTAACAAGGTTCTGTCCAATTTGGGGTGAATCCGCCCCCCTTCCAGTAGGAGGCTGATATAGCTTCTTTTCAAAGCTGGTTAATAACATTTATTCCCCCCTGCAGAATACATGTTTTTACGTTTAACTTCCATTGATGTTGAATTTAAGCAAATACTATGTCACTCATGACATTTTTCATATGACTTAGAAATTGTTAGTCAACTTCATAGAGAACCAGAAGAGTTTTGTTTTCCCTTTTGGCTGTAGATTTGCTTGAAACTGATGCTAAGATTATGCCTTGCATGTCAGCATGTAATTCTGTTGCAAAACTCCAGTGACATTAACAAAGCATAAGTGCATAAGTGTGTGTGGTCATTGCACATATTCAGGGAATTTCTGGCTCAGTGGTTCTATACGCTATAGTGTTGGGCTAGCCTACCTTCCCTGAGGAAAAACACATTAATGTCAAATCGGTCTTGCATGTAGTAGCTGGCTGAATCCATAAGCATGGTTTGATCCTGCCGTTTAAGCAGCTGTTCCTGTCACCTTATCAAGAGTTATTAGTACCAAACACAGATTTACGAGGAGCTAGTCTCATAGCCTTTGAGTTCCTATTTCATTTAAGCAACATCTTTTCATGATGGCCAGGTCGGTTGGAAACATAGGCATGTAGTTCTTCCCTGTTTACTTTCAATCAAAAACTAATAATAATAACAGTAAGCACAACAGAAACAACACAAATACCTCTATTAGTTTAATATAACACAAAATTGGAGTGATCTTATTTTAGAAGGGAACAGGGCCTTGGTTCCTTTTTAAGAATTCTGAGGAAGGCAGATGTGCCCCAGGTACAACTTCTTCTAGCAGGGATTGAGCAAAGAGCAGCTGTTGATTGTCCCAGCTGGAGGGCTGTTCTAGGGAATGGTGCCCTGTGGTTGCCCTAAAATTGACCTTTTCTGTTTCTGTAGCGCTGCCGCTTACATACACTTTCAGACAAATTTGAAATTTTACAAAGCATACATATGACTTAGTTGCATAGAATTTTCTTTTCACAAAACGTTATACTTTTTACCCCCTTGATACAGATAATGTTGATCGTGGAAATATTTATCAACTTTAATTAGAAATCCTGGCATTTGAAATTAAGTTTCTTGCACTGCATTTAAATGAAGCTTTGAAATTGAAGCACCAACATTGTTTTACAAACCACCAGAGCCGTCTTTACCCAGGGGTCCAAGGGTTGCGGGGCAGCTGGGCGCCGAATTCTGGGGGGCACCAAATGTATACCTACTGTATACTGGTCCCTCTCAATCGGAGACAGTGAAAAGCAATGGAGCGAAAGTCCCCATCCCCCTCGTCCATCACGTCAAATATTCCCAACGAGTCAGGAAACAAAAGCAGTTTTTTCTGCTGCGTCGTTGTTACAGTGAGCAATTCCCCCCCCCAAAAAAAGCTAAACAACTTTGAGTTCGCCCCCCCAAAAAGAAGGTCAACAACGTTGGCTTCCCCCCTCCCCCAAAAAGCTCAATAAAAATTTATTTGGGGGTGGCTAAACTAAATTTGGGGGCGCTGGGCAGATCTTTACACCCCAGTGGCACATATGCCAAAGACGGCCCTGCAAACCTCAAACCCAAATAGCGTTACGTAGGGTCATATCCAACATTGCAAATCAAGATTTGTAAAATTTGCTTGTAAAATTGTAGTTCAGCAGTTTCAAATTTAGGAAATTTGGTAAGTGTGGGCCAATATTTCTTTCAGGTTCAACTCTACAAAATAGCAATGATTATTTCATTCTTTTCCTGTGGTTTCGTAAGAGATTCCTGCATTAAGTACAATACATCAAGGTAATGTAGCTAACATAGGCATTTTTGTCTCTGATCCTTAGAACAGAAGGGGGTGTTTCAAAAGGTGCAACTGTAGGAGTTCTTCTGGACCTCAACAAGCACACCCTGACCTTTTACATAAATGGGCAACAGCAGGGACCTCCAGCATTTGAAAATGTGGAGGGCGTCTTCATGCCTGCATTAAGCCTCAACCGAAACGTGCAGGTAAAATTATTTTCCCCACAGATTTATTTTGCTTTTGTATCCCACCTTTCCTCAGAGGAGCTCCTAGTGGCATACATAGTTCGTCCCCTCCTCTAACAATTCTTTGAGGTGGGTTAGGCCAAGAGATGGTAACTGGCCCACCGTCACCCAGTGAGCTTCATGGCTGGGTGGAGATTTGAGTCCTGGTCTCCCAGGTTCTGTTCTTACTCCACACCATGTACATTTCATGTACATTGCCAAAGGACAAAATCCATCTTTCTGTATAAGCTGGAGCCATTTCAAACTCATTTTTCTGTAGGGATTCAATTGCTTACTGACACATTCAATTGCAAATAGACAAACTTAGGTTGTACAGTTAAAGTAGATTTGATCCTTTTCATCAACAAACCTGCCCCTGTCATATAACTTCCCCACAAACTTTGTGCAAACAAATCAGGATGAAAGCTATAAAACAAAACAAAACAAAACCAGGTTGTCTAGGAATAACCAGAATCAAAATCAGAGAATTGGTGGTACAATTTCCTTTATCCAAATAGCCCAGTCAAGTAGTACAGTATTATTTGTTGGTGGATTGGCACAAACTGCATGAAAGTCAGAAGTTTTGGATGTAGAAAATCTAATTAGTTAAAGGAAACACAGTCGTGCGTTGGTTCTCGAATGCCTTGGTATGCGTACGTTTTGGCTCCCAAACGCCGAAAACACAGAAGTAAGTGTTCCGTTTTTTAAACGTTCTTGGAAGCCAAGCGTCTGATGCGGCTTCCACAGCTTCCAATTGCTCCTGCAGCTAATTGGAAGCTGTGCATTGGTTCTCAAACACTTCCGGGAGTTTGTTCGACTTAAGTTTGATGGATTACGTTTGACAACCAAGGTACCACTGTAGATAAAGGTCTACCAGACACTCTTTATATACCCTGTATAAATTCCCCCTTAAGTGAGGTGATTCTGGGTGTGGGCAGGCGGTCATTTGGGCTGCATTCAAACAAGCAGTGTATTCTGTTTCTCTGACACTTCCCTAACTTCTAATTTCCACACTATATTTGAGCTTTCACATGATATAAAACAGGGGTCAGCAACCTAAGGCCCATGGGCCACAAGCGACCCACAGGGGTAGTTTAATCTGCCCACAAGCCGCCCCTAAACCGAGCTGCCCGCTCGGCGAGTCCCCGCCCGTGATCCGGCCCACAGATGGATCTCTACTGGAGTGAACTGGCCCAGGTAAAGTAAACCTTGCTGACCCCTGATATAAAAGACTCTTCCAGAAATCTAGTGGGATATAGTGAGAGTTTAGCACTCAATTCCACGTTAATTGCTTCCAGAAAAAAAAATCTGCTTGCAACCCCATTAACTCAGGAGTAAAGTGAAATGTGTCGGGGACGCGGGTGGCACTGTAGGTAAAACCTCAGTGCCTAGGACTTGCCGATCGTATGGTCGGTGGTTCGAATCCCCGCGGCGGGGTGAGCTCCCGTCGTTCGGTCCCAGCTCGCTCCTGCTCACCTAGCAGTTCGAAAGCACCCCTAAGTGCAAGTAGATAAATAGGTACCGCTTTATAGCGGGAAGGTAAACGGCGTTTCCGTGCGCTGCGTTGGTGCTGGCTCACCAGAGCAGCTTCGTCACGCTGGCCACGTGACCCGGAAGTGTCTTAAAGTGAAATGTGGGGCTGTATACCTGCATATAGATCTTTCCTGCCATTTTCATGGGTGAATCATGGGGGGAAAGAAGCATGCATGTGCAGAAAGGGTGAGGGAGTGGCAATGTTGTCCAATGACGTTCATTGTTGTGTCAGGAAAGAGATGAGAGGAGGTAACTCCTGGCAACCTCTCACAGAACCCTGGGTTTCCATGGAACCCCAGTTGAGAAAGTCTGCTTTAGACTAACTTCTGACCCACACAGCATTTTCAGGCCTGAGGCTAAGGAGCTTCTCTAGTCTGGCAAGGTTATGGAGTTTCTCCACACAATGCATGGAGACTCCCTAGCTAACTAAGGCTGTGAAAGTATTCCACAAAATGTTTCTACTTAGCAATTGCCTGGAACAGCAGTAGTCAGAGTGGTGCTCTTCACATATAACAGGCTAACAACTGCCATCTTCCCTGACCATCGGCTGTGCTGTTTGGAGCTGATGGGATTTGGGAGTCCAACCATTATGTTGGCTCCCCTTATCTACTTGTGAGGGGGAGGGAGGGAGTTCTAATTTGTCAAAAGGGCAACTTCAAGTGGTCAGAACTGTCTTTTTAAACTGACGAGAAGCCCTTCCGCGTTGACTGGTTCCTATGCTATCAAACTCATGGTATAGTTGAAGGTTTCCTGCTTCATCTTCAAGTTTCAGTTCTAAGTCTTTTTTCGTTTTTTTCTCCTCGCAGGTGACTCTGCACACAGGACTCGAGGTACCTCAGACTGTCAGACCACCAAAGCTGCCGAGCAACTGAGCTCCTCTTACGTAAATCTGAGCTGGATTTTATAATCTTTCTAAATAGATTTTGGCATAAATATATACAAAGCATTCGCCATTTAGATCAAAATCAGAATTGGTTATTAGACTTAAGTAACCTAACGCTGTTTTTTGTCTACATGCATTTCAAAATGTTACAGCCTTCTGAGAGTCGCTTGCATCACCAAATTTCCTGTGCATTAGCAGTGCGTGAAACCTGATTGGTCTGCCCATCTAAAGTCAATCACATAAGTGGATTGTTTTAATATCAAAAAATGCCTCATTTTCCTTTTCATCCATTTTCCCTTTAGCCACTCATGTGGCACGTGCCAGAGAAAGTGAAAAGTACTTTATCACCATTGATTAGACTGGGATTAAATTCACTGTTGTTATTGTTTTCCATTCTGGTCTCTGAATGTGATGTACTGATGTGGACGATAACACTCCAAATACTGTAGGTACTGTTTGGGTATAAAGGACCCAGCCCCACTGGTGGGGATTTGGACAAAGTGACCTCTGAGGCATCCTCTAGATTTGGGCATGATGAAACAGGAATGAAATTGTTTGTGATCCCACTGAGGTCAGTAGCATAATTCTCAGTGATTCCACTGTGAGCAAGGACTTAATTTTTAAAGCAATATATGCTGCAGGCCTCAAACTGATTGCTGCAGAGTAGTGCTACCAGACCTCTGCAATGGTGTAGCTGCTTGCAGCACTTGACTGGAGCTCATGCAGCACTAATGTACCGTAACTTCATGATTTGTGACTTTGTGGTTGAGAATATAATCAAATGATTTGCAAACAGAGCAGATCTCTGGGAGAGATTCACTCATTAAAACACAGATAAGAACATGTGGGGCAACAAAGCAGAGATCCCATATCTACTCAGTAAAATAATAATAAATCTTTAACATCTTTATGTGATTTTAGATCCTCTTCTTTTACCTATGTCCCCCACTCCACCTTTCTAGTCAATATTCTATTATTCAACAGGATTTAATTAACAAAACCGCTAAACCATATGCCATTCATATCCTCCTTCTTCTAGTCTAGCAAAATGGACTTTGCTTAACTTATCACTCATACATATTCTTCCACAAGTATTTGTTGGATTGCAGTTAAGCCCTTTTCAAAGTTGTTTCATGGCTTTCTGAGATGCCAGCTGAGTCAATCCCTCAGCATGTAGCAACAACTTCGTTTTTAGGGCCAAACTAGATGTGACATTAGCTGTGTCTCTGCATTTAGCACACTTAAAAAATAATAAAAATTAGCTGATGTGGTGCTATTCATTGGCAGCCAGGGTGGGTGGGTTGCTCCCAGCTCAAAGAGCAGCTTCAAAGGAATGATTTTAGTAAGGATGAATCTCTCCACCCTGCTTCTGTGATCCCAGTAGTTACCTATCCCTGATGTACTTTAAATGCAAATATGCATTTAGTATGAGGTCTAGTGGCCAGGTTCAGGCATTTTTTCTTGGCTTCATAAACCATGGTCCAAGTGGACTACTCCTTCTTTCTTTACCCCTCCTCTCCTTATGCCAGCTTCAGCACTTAATCATTGGTTTGACATTAAGCCAGAGTTCCCCATTACGTCTGAACCAGGGAGATCTGGGTTAATCGCCATTAATTAACTAGGATACTAAACCTGGTTAGTTAATGAGATTAAGGCTGGATCTAGACACATCAAAAAAACTGTTTCTGGAAAATGTGTTGTAAAACTCATAATGGGAAATCACGTTGCCAAAGAATTGAACTCTACAGCACCATCTGGTGTCTCAGTGTTATAACACATTTATAATGCTTTTTTTTTACTCATGTAGCTGAGTCCTAAGTCACAGTTCCTCTGATCAGACATAATAGAGGACTCTGGTTTAATACCAAGCCAGGAACTAAGTACTGAAGCCAGATTTCAAGAGGTGGAGGAAGGAGCACTCTGTCCTTGTTCCATGTTTCATGAACCATGATCTATGATGCAAGGAAATATTGTTCAAATCCTGCCATAGGGTAGCAAATGTTCCAGGCTGTAATGAGATGGTTAGTATTATCAACATCATGCAGCCATTACTTTAGTTTGGATGAAGATGAGGCCTTGATCAATCAAGTTCTTACGTAACTTCACCATATGTTCTTTCAAAGTATTGTTTTGCTAATTATTTACCTTTCTAATGATGCTATCACTCTTTGTACATTTAGATGTGCATCTAGGCTAATACGCATGCTCTCCTCCTGTTAAAAAGCAACACATGCCAACAGAAGTCCCAGGTGATGCAGGTGGTGTTGTAGGAGTTGGGGAGGAATGCTGAAATGGTCTTCCACAGAAAGAGCCAGGTAAAACTCTAGCCTAGAACAGGGGTGGGGAAACTATAACCTTCTAAATGCTGTTGGACTCCAACTCCCATTAGCCTTATCTACTATGGCCAATGGTCAGGGGTGATGGGAGATGTAGTTGAGCAATATATGATGAACTACCCCTTCCTCACCTCTTACCTAAAACCATCTCCCTGATATGCTAGTTTTATATGCATGGGGAATATGTTTTGCCAGGAAGCAGGAAAGACACCCAGTCCCTGACCGGCAGTCTGAAATTAAGGACATCAGAAATGGATATATCACAAGAATATTCTGCTCATCTGCTATAACACCGATATAATTATGTGCCCTTAGTTAACACAGTTGTACCTTGGAAATCGAACAGCTCAGTTCCCAAACGTTTTGGCTCCCGAACGTTGAAAACCTGTTCTGGTTTGTGAACTAATTTTGGAAGCTGAATGTCCGACGGGGCTTCCACAGCATCCAAGCAGCCAATCAGAAGCCGCGCTTTGGTTTTCAAATGTTTTGGAAGTCGAAAGGACTTCTGGAATGGATTCCGTTCGACTTCCAAGGTACGACTGTATAAGAATTTTATACATTCCAAATCCAGCTTTCTGCCTTGAATGACACCTCAGATATGGGACATACTGATATGTAGCATGTGGTTTATTTGTGTGTGTGTGTTTTTTAAAGAAAACCTTGGCTAGTTCAGATGTTAAATTGGGCCAGGAGTCATCCCAGCATCTGCATCTGCAGTATGTGAGTCCATGGGTATAATAATTAGCAAAACACATTATCTCCAGCATACATTTCTGAACATCAGAGATAATGGGAGTTGCCTATGACATTCTAGCTCATACATTGCATTGTAAAAATACATTGCTGTGACACTTCTGCTGAAATCAAATGTGGCCCTGAAAATCAGCACCTCAGAACCATGGAGACTAGGCATGCCATTGCATGCAGACATTTACTGTTCAGAACCTCATGGTAGGCATCCTCCACTCATCGTACATATGGAGTTCTAGTCATTATTTATTATTCATACAGGTATATTACATGGAAATCTGTGGTGCACAGGGGTGTGCATTTGACATGGAAACTGAATTCAATGCATCAACTGAATTTGTGATTATCATGCTTATACTGCTGCAAGGATTCAGTGATTGGGCTTCACACAGTTCCTAGAACTACTACACAAAAGCCTTTCATGTGCATTGATCCAAATGCATCCCTATCATAGTTTCTGTGATTCAGTGTGGAACTTCATACGCAACTCAAATGAGCTTTCCATGCATGTATGCAGAGAGTACTATAACAGTGGAGAGTTAATGGGGAAGGATTAAGAAGTGGGAGAATTAGGTGAAGAAATGGAGGAAACCGCCAGTTAAACATTTCCATGCAATTCCAACTTTTTCTTTCAATCCTTGTTTCCTCCAGTCTTGCAAGTAGCAAACAGACACTAAGGCTGGCAAGGAAAGAATACCAGTGGGTTGGACAGAAAGGTTCCCTTTCTCTGACAGAATGGTCTGGAAAGATTCCTTCCACTGATGGGGAGAAAACTCATTCCATTACAGGAAGTTATTTCCATTGGAGGAAGAAAGCATTTGGCTCCAACCAACCCCGTGAAAATGTGTAATTTCCCCTCTTAAGCCTGCAAGCAAAGGTGCTTTCTGTTAAGATGTACCTCTTTTTATTATACCACTTTAATTTTCAGATACTTCTATATGACTGTGATATACTGAAAGTAGCGACAAATGCTGTTCTATTTATTGAATTTCTTGTTTAAAAGTTATCAAATTTTGTCCAGGGTTGTGTTGTTGTTTTTAATTTAGCAGGGTCAGCATAAAGCCTACCTCACCTAACATCTTAAGGACCCTGCTCACTGTGACCTAAGCCTTGTCTGAATTTAGAACTTGTACAGATAGATAGTAATGACTTATTATACGGTACTTCTTTGGAAATACATCATACGACCATGATTCCCAAATGGCTGGGCAGCCATTTTGCTCCTGTGAATCACAACAGCTTTAAGGGCCAGAGGTGAGCGTTGGGAATAAGGCGATGCAAAAGACTAAGAGGGTTCTGTTTCTGATCCAGCCTAAAGCCAACAGATAGGCCCAAGAAACCCAGTCATCCCGTCGGTATTAGTCCCATTTAGTAAAATATTTCGGAATCACAGTTGAATGTTAGTGCCACATTTCAGTTATATATTCCTTGTTATACAACCTTGATACCGAAAACATTGGGCTTTTCTTATTAAGCAGTAAAGCAGCACTGCTTGTTAGTGTTAGAATGAGCTTCTATCTTCACTTTCAATGATCCCTTGCAATTTAAATTCTTGCAATCCAATTTTTAAAGGGATTTGAAATCATTTTTATACACCTGTTGCAGAGTTCTTTTTTTATAATTTCTCTCTGTGTATATATAGATATGGCACCATATATTGGTGTGGTGCACTTGCACTAGACTTTTCTTGTAGATTGTGACTAAAAAAAAAGGTGTAACACAAGCTTAGAAGACTGAAGGAAATGCATGCAGTTGGAAGGGGGATTCTTCCTTGCTGTGGAGAAGTGAATAGTCCTCTCCATTTCTGTTCTTTCTCAGATTCTTAGGGAAGAATAAACTAGACAGAATCTCCACCTCCCTTTTATCAAAACTAAGGGCCATTTCATAGGAATGAGTTTGCAGCTTTTGCATTTTTAGGTATACACTTCAAATATCTCTGGTGCATACAAAAAGCATGTAACATAGGAAGTACTAAAAAGAGCTGTTAAAAATATGTTAGGCTGGATTCACCTAAGAAGCACTGTCAGCGGAAGCCATGTGCAAGGACTTCTGCACATTGGGCTTCCCTCAGTTCCCAGCTATGCAGCTGTGGGAGCAAGAACAACAGGAGGACAAGAAAAGGCAATGATAAATCATATAAGCTAGAATGAATTGCAACAGAGGGTCCCTGCAGGAAAACATACACTAATAACCCAGCCCAGCTATCTGATTATTAGTATGCAAGCATGGACTACACAATTTGTGCATTTACACTAAAGGAAAATGCTGTTGCTGACTTTTATTCATATAATTATTTCAGACAATCTCTACAAAGCTTTTGCTACTGGCTACAGTGTCCCGTCCCCCCCAAATTAGCAACCCTACTTTATGATGTTGCGAACCCACCATTAGCTTCCAGCTTGTCTAGCTGTTTCTTTTTATGTACTGTAATAACTTTGAATCTTTGAAGGGAGTGCCCCCCCCCCAAATTTTCCTCCATCCCCTTTGAAGACCTCAAATGATGAATCCACATTATTCAGTTGTCTTTATCAATTGTGGGGGTGAGGAGGAAGAGAGAGAGATGTTTTAGGAAAGATGAAAAGCCTTTTACTTACTGTGCAGTGTAGAGAACTGTCCATTGTCATTCTTCCGCCTTGATAACTTTCCCTGACAAAACGGCCCCGTTTTATACTGCTGCAACTAATTAGAAGAAAAAAATGATATGTAGTTGCTCAATGGTTTCCTTCCTACTGACAGATTTTTAAAATAAAAATCCCTGCTTTTGCTGATTTCATTCTATATGTCATTCATTCCATCTCCCCACCTTGCGGGAAACTGTTTTCTCTTTAGGAAAAAGAAGTCTTTGTCTGAAGGGTCGTAGCTCATCTGCTTTGCATGCAGAAGGTCCCAGGTTCAAATTCTGACATCTCCAGGTAGGGCTGGGAATAATTCCCCATCTCCCCTGGAAAGTCACTGTCACTTGGTGTAGACAATACTGAGCTGGAGAATGGACTCAGTTTAAGGCAGCTTCCCATGTACTGCAGAAAGGACAGTGGTGTTTACTTAGAAGTAAGTTCCATTGAGTTCAGTGGGGCTTCTTCCAGGTAAGTGGGTAGAGTTACCGCCTGAGTTGACCTATCCAGGTCTGACTTGCAAATTGGATTTTTTCAGATTTCGAAGGCAGGCCAGAGAGCATGTCCCTCCTGAGTCCTGACTGTATTAATGAAAAAACAAAGTATAAAGGCCACAGTTCGACAGTGAGGTGTACCTAAAGCCACCATGGGCTTAAAAGTGTCTAATTTACGTTGGATTATAGCCAAAATATATTGGACTGAGGGGAGGGGGGAAGGTGAAATAAGCTATATCAGAGTTTTAAGAGGAGATATTAATATGTAATGTAATGTATTATGTATACATACCAATCCATCTTAGTGTATATAATGCATTGTAATGTACTGGCGTAGTCAGTTATTGATTCGTGGTCACATTCCATTGTAGTGCTGTAGATTTTTTTAAAGACTTGTTCCGCAAAACGAAAAGGGGGGGGGACCGCACTTGGTTCCCAAGTTTTTTTAGGTGTTTTAGAGAAAGACAAAGTGTGTTGTTTTGACTTTTATCCTCCTCTTTTAATACGGACAATAATTTTTAAGAGATTATGGCTCCGCCAC